CCTCAAGTTTACTCTACCTTTCATTTTTAATACGCCCCAGTTTTTTCCCCCCTCTCTCTCGCTCTCACTCTGTACACTCCTCTTCCTCTCTGCTATAATCATTTCTTTCCTCCTCAGAAACTCCCCTCCCTAACTCACTTCTTTCCCCACAACCCTGTCACATGTCTGCGAGCATGCAGGACGAATTTTATATCCGTCTGTCAAGCTCTTTCCTCTCCTTCTCCTCCTCCTCCTCCTTCATTTTTCACTTGTGCGAGCACACCTGTGCCCCTCATGTGATGTGCTCACGTATCATATATGAAGCAGGTGCAAAGGAGCGATATGAGACAACACAGCAGAGACAGAGAGAGGTTTTTGTTTAATGGATGGATTGAGAGGCGTTTTGCTCTCTCTCTCTCCGTTTCCGAACTCAGTTTCCTCTCATGTATAATGGATGATTTGAGTCTCTTGCACCATTGTTTGCTGATTCTAGACAGTGAGCCCAGCCTGTTGAATAATAAAACAGGAATGAAAATGTCTCAGAGCTTCTGAGGGACACCTGCTGATTACAGCGTGGACTACATTCATCACAACTGTCCGTAACAGTTGCTTGTTTCACCACCACATGCAGACACACAAAAACATTTTTATCTTTGCTGTTTTATTTTACCCCCCTCCCATCTTTTCTTCTTCCCCTGCTGCCCCGAAATATAAATAGAAACTCAAACAGACTCACGTGCACATAACAAATGCACACACACACACACACACACACACACACACACACACACACACACTGATGCAGACCATTACAACAGAAGAAGTAGAGGATTTCAGAGGTGATGATGCAGTAGACCAGAATTGCAGCGGCATGGCGAGCTATTTTTAGAAGTGTAGTGAAGGGAGTCGGATGGTGTCGCAGCACGTGCAGAGCCTCTCGCTCCTCAATAACACCCCCAAACTCTCAGGGAGTCTGATTTACTTTGGCTTCAGCCATTGACGGTAAACAATGGGAGAAGCCAAATTGACTCTGCGGGCAAAGAAAAACATTTTCATTTATAAATGTTGCACCGCAACAAAATGTAAAAATTAGATAAATGTACAAGCTCAAATAGGCTGCAGTTTAGTGCAGTGACTTCTCATTTTTACCCAAGGAGGTCCTGTAATGGAAAGCTTCGCTCATTATGTTTGCAAAATAAGAATAAGGAACCCTGCTGAACTGAGGCCCAAATAGCAGAGTCATTAAGTTTCTCCAAAATGTATAAGGCTGTCAGCTAACCTGTGGAAAGTTTCTCTGGTGCCTAACGCCCTAAGTAGCCCTAAATGATCCCCTAATGTCACTTCATTTGTGGCATTATGATTCGTTTGGACCAAAGTAAAGCATGAACTGAAATGATCAGGGGCTGAAGAGGTTCATGCGCTTTAATCTCTGTGCTTGTCAGATCATAGAACAGCGTCAGAAACATCCTCGTACCTTTTTGAAGTCGGCACTGAGGGATGGTGCATCTAAAAATTCCTGTAATCCAACAAAAACACAACAAGCGCGCAACTTCAGGGAACAGTTGGCCTTGTGTGTAGAGGTGAGGATGCACGCAGGATCTGAGCTTCTCTCTGAAGCTGTTTTTGTATTCTTTGGTTCAGGCTGCTGCTTCTGTCACTTCTCATGTGTACAAACGAGCACAACGCCGTGAATGTTGCAGAGAAACTGTCCAAAAGTGTTAATGTTATCCCCATTAGAGTTATCGTCACGTCCCTCTATGACAGCAGGCTCGGCCCAACTTCAAGTGTGACCAGTTGGAACGGCTATAAACAGTTGAGCTGCAGTCAGACAACATGATTACTGCTGTCTTTTGCAGTGTTTTTAATCTTCTATATTGCTAAAGAGGTCCGTCCACATCTACATCAATGAGGGCAAATATGACAGTAATCTTTTTTTTTAGAAGATCCACTGCTGGTAAAATTTGCTTTTTGGTGCATCGGAATGAACGGATTTCTGTTTCTAAAATGTGTATTTCCCTCAGATTGAGGTAATACGCTCTCAGGATGGTACTTTAAACATGTAGGCCAGCTTTGTTCACTAAAAATGTCTCTGGAGGAAGCTGGCTTCAAGGGAGTGAGAGAGGAGGAAGGGGGTTAGAAATACAGGGCTAAGTTTAAATAAGAAACCGCGTGAGAGGGAGGAAAGGCCGGCGCATCAGATAAGTGTTTGAAAAGTCTGATTTCACAGCACTCCTGCGTTTTATGTGAGTGTGTGAGCGAGTGTGTGTGTGTTTGTGGGCTTGCTGCTGCTGCTGCTGCTGCTGCTGCTGGACAGGCTTTAATAATTGACGGAGCTGCCAGGGAGGAGGTGTCCACCCACAGATTCCCCTGCATACGGGGGATTCTTCAGCACAAATGTGAGTGTTTATATGTGTGTCAGCAGCCACCTCTGACATTAGCTTGCATCCGAGAAAATCAGAACCACCATCCAGGCTGTGTTCCGGGATAAACTCACGGATGTAAACAGATAATTAGTTCCTGGTAGTGAACACATCGGGTTGTTTTTTTTAAGATCACGTGAATAGAACCTTCATTAAGGATCTATACCACCAGATAAAACCTATATTCTGACTCTGAATAGATCCTTTAGCGGTAAACACTGTTAGAAGTTAGAAAGCAATAAAAAAAAAAAAAAAGCAACCGGAAAAAATTAAGCAAAAAAAAAAAAAAAAGGTTTAAAAAAATATAGAAGATGGACATACTGAAAGCATAAAATAAAAGTACTCATTTATTCTAAATATTGCTAAAGCGTGTTAAATTATAGATGCTCTAATGTATGTGTTCTGTGGCTCCAGGTGGTTTCTGCTGCCTCGACCTTTTTATGTGCCTTTTTGTGAGATTACCAGGTGCTTTGCCTGCTCAGCAAAATAATAATCAGCAAGAATTAGTGGTGCACGATATTAAAATTTCTGTCCGATACCGATATTAAGATTTCTGATATCGCCGATAACCGATATTATCAATGTCGATTCAATTTTTGTTCACACCGAAAAATGAGTGTGAGAACGTGAAAACTATTCAAAAGAAGCCCAAATTAGACCACATAGTCTTCTTTATTACGTAACAAAATCAAAACATATTTAAGTCCAGAACCACTTCAGTAAAAACATCTGAAATAGCAGCGATATCAAACGTAGAGACGAAGGCGCTGATGTTAGACAATCATCGGTTTCTCACATCGGCTATATTTGTTCATCGGACCGATACCGATATATGGGGGAAAAAAACACTAATATCAGCCAATACCGATGTGGTCACGTCTGAACTCCAAGCGCTGTGGACAAACACCACCATGGAAACCATGGCGAGAAGTAGAAGAACTCAAAAATGTCTTCTGAGCAGAATGACACCATTATAATGTATTAATTAATCATGAAATAAAGAAAAATTATGATTTATTTTACAAAAACAAATTCTAAAAATCTCTTGAATCGACATCTACAACATTTTAAGATATCTCTCCTATGTAAAAAAAAAAAAAAAATGACATGCTGTTTGCTTGTGTTTTTAATAATAATTAATAATTCATTTTAGTTGTATAGTGCTTTTCAAGAACTCAAAGACACTTCACAGGCTAAAAGCAATAAAAGCAATAAACAATAAGCAACTAATACAAAGGTAGACAATATAGAAATACAGGAAGCAGATAAAAACAACACTAAACATCAAGATAAAGCCTCAGCCTTGGTGGGAAAAGCGGATGAGTTTTAATTTGTCTCGATACTTGTCTTCTGTCTGCTCTCTGTAAACACAGCCTGCAGTTCAACCCAGTTCAACAGCCAGGTTCTTGAACTGTTTAGGTTAACTGACTTTAAATTTTTGTACAGAATCTCAGGCGTGCAAAGACTTTATTTTGGGCAATTTTCTAAATGAAACATGCAGAATTTTGAGCAGTTTTAAGTTTAGATTTGGTTATTTTCCTGATGGACGGGCGCGTCAGAGATGAGTAGTTCAAGTTGAAAACATAATATTTCTCTGGGTTTTTGCAGTTTCTGGCTCTGGTGTAATTTTGGCTTCTGGCCAGTTTTGAAGTCCAGCGGGTTAAATAACTTAAAGAATAAATTCATATAGGACGGCAGTATAGTCTCGAAGCCGCTCACATTTTCTCCTTTCCTCTCCCCTTAATTACTACCACGAATCATTTTTCCTAATAGTTATTGCCGCGGTACATTTCCCCTCAGTTAGAACCCAGACTGACACTGAAAGAACATCTTTAGAGTTATTCATCTTTTTTTTTTTTTTCCTCCCTCCTGCATGTCTTTCTCTTGTTCCTGTTCGACTCCTGCCATGCACACACTCACCAGAGGAACATTAGGAGGTCAGTATCATTCAACGGCAGACCTGGGGCCATTATATTAAAAGAAGAAGCCCTCTGTGATATTAGCTTTTAACAGTATGTGGCTGAATGGATGTCTGTGGAGTGTGTCCATCTATTTCTGTGTGTGAGTAAAAGGAAAAACCAAGAGGAACAAAAAAAAAAGAAAAGGCACCTGATGCAGTACTGCGGTTGTGGAGCTCACAGAATCCATTCTCAGCACATCTCTGAGCAATCTTGCTGTCAAGGTTAAGTATTTCTCTTGACACGTCGATACAGTACATGCAGCCACACATGCATTCTGTGCGCGAAACGAGGATGCAAACACACTTCTGCAGGCTGCAAATTACATCCACCGACGCAAAGTGAGGTCACACTGAGAAATTAACTCCACCTAAAACAATCCTTCACTCTATCTCCTCCTGCTGTCTCACACTGTGTCTCTCTCTCTCGGTCTGAGGCCGCCTGAAGTGTGGAGATAAAACAGCGGCATCTTAATCTGTGGGTGGCGCAAGCCAACAAAGAAGGCAATTAGGATTATAATTTACAGTTCCCTTGCCCTTCTCTCCTCTCTCTCCCCTTCCCCTTCTCTAAATTCTCTCCACTCATCCCTCCTTTCCACCCATGAATTAATGTCTTTATGTGTGTCATGTGTGTGTCCCCACAGAGCAGCACGAGCATTTGGAGAGTACCTGTCCCACACACACCCTGAAAACCGAAACGGATCAGGTCAGCGTCTCTGCCATCCCGCCATTTGTTCATCCCTCTATTGTGTTCTGCATATTCCGCTGTGGACTTAATCCTTCCTCCACCTGGTGCACCTCATCCTCTATTGAAATGCCACGCTGTGCTCATTAGCGTGTCACGACAACAGCTGATAGCCGAAGAAAGATGATGATGTTATCCTCTGTGTCATCCCCAGCTTGTCCTCTTCCTCTTCTTTCCCCCCTTTCCTCTATTTTCTTTAGCACTTCAGTGCATTTCCTATTCTTTAAAGCTCATATTTGCCTTTGTTTCCGTCTCCTTGTTTCACCTTCTAGCTCATCTCCTGTGTGAAACCTTGGTGGGTCCTGACCCGGAGACGCAAAGTGACACGATTGGTCCCGACAACAACAACCACCTCCATCCCTGCTCCAACACAAAGGGCTGTAAAGACAAACCGGAGCCCAGCCTCGTGAAGCAGCCGCTGGGCTTGCTCCAGCCCCCTCCCCCTTCCATCACCATTTCTACCAAGCCACCGCGGCTGTCCCTCGAACGCAGCTTCTCAGCAGAAGAAGACCAGCAGAAGAGTGTGGAGTGCACCCTGCAGCCCGCCCGCGTGTACACCATCACCACCCAGCACGGTATGCTGATGAGCAGCGGCCGGGGCAGCAAGGAGAGCTTAGAACTGGACGTCCTAAAGGAGAAGTCGGGGAGTGGCGGGGTGGGATCTAGAGGTGGCTCGGTCCAGCCCTCCACTTCCCCTTCCTCCACCTCATCATCTCCAACGCAATACCACCGAGCCAGCAGCGGCCGTGGCACCAGCAGCAGCAGCAGCAGCCACCATCACAGCAACCACCACCGCTCGAATGCGCAGTCCGGCGGCGGAGGAGGCAGCAGCGGGGCGAGCGGAAGCAGCAACCAGCAGCAGCTAACCGTTGCAGGGTCCCACTCCCATCATGGAGCGCACCACCACGGCCACCACCACCATCACCTGTCCCAGCCCCCGCTGCAGACCTCCGTCAGCGCCCACAACATCCGCAGCTGGGGCGAGGGCGGGAAAGGCGAGGCGGAGTGCAGCGGGCTGGCTTGCGACTCGTGCAGCGGCGCTCCGTCTCGCAGCCAGGGCTCGCTGGACCTGGAGAGCGCGTCCCGAGAGGCAGGCAAGCAGCACCGACGCCTAGAGCGGATGTGGAGTGTGGACCGGGTGACTGGGCTGGAGAGAGGTGAGAGGGCGGAGGACACAGAGGAAGGGAGAGGCGCTGAAATCCAATCTAAGGGTGGGAAGGGTGGCGGCGAGGTTGTGGAGGACGCCCCGTGGCAGGGATTGGCGGGACATGGGACCAGAGATGAAATAGCATTTGACTGCTTGCAATCACAACACACACAGTTACCATGTGAGAGCAGCGCGATCTAACTGTTGTCTCTTGGCTGCCTACTTAATGTTGCATGAAAGTAGTCGGAATAAAAGGAACAACAAAAAGTATATTTGCCCTGTGAAGATAAAAACTGTTGTTTTGTAGGGCTCTACAGTGGAAGGTGGCAAAGAAAAGCTGCTTCAAAAACGCTAGAAAATGACAGAACATAGGAAAAGTCAAAAGCACTCAACAATCATAATGACTTGTTCAGTTAACAGGATGAACAATACAACAAATGTTGGTTCAAAAACGACCAAAAAGTCAACAGCAGTGTTGCTTGTGTGGCAATTATATTAGATTACATCGCATTCAGAGGTGTCCTTGTTGCTTTTACCGTTGCCTGAAGGGATTTTAGTTAAAAATTAGGATTCATTTAAACTGTTGTCGTTGGTGACAGATTAATTATAGTTGTTTCTAAGGAGCAACACTTCCCACTTGGTTGGAAAAAAAGTAAGAAAATCACACATTAGTAATAAAATACTTACTAATAGTTGAGTTAAGTTTCATTTTAAGTTGACAAATTAGTCTGAAAACACAATCTTCACCCAAAAAAAAGAAAATGTCCATCAACATTAGCTAAACATCACAGTTAATCGTTTCAACACGCTTCCTTCAAATCTATTTCTTCTCAGGTCCGGTGGGGGTTGAGGGTTTGATGTTGGATGTGACGTGGTGGTCTGTATTTCTGACTCGTCGTCTCCCTCGTCTCTCCCCTCTGCTGTCTCTTCCCTTGTGTCTCCCTCTCTCCATCTGTGGAGTGGTGGACTGTGAAGTGCTGGTTTTTTATTTTTGTGCCTCTCATTTTTCTAATATATTTATGACGACATTTGCCCAACGCGGCGCAAAGCTTCCTCTTTGTCCGCTTAACCTTGGAATGCTCATTTTGTTTCCCTCTCTGATTGCAGAAGACACTAACTGGTTCCCAAAGGAAAACATGTTCAGCTTTCAAACTGCCACAACAACCATGCAGGCGTGAGTGTCGAATCCTCCCGAGTACATTTAACATGTACACAAACACGCATGCATGAACATGCAGTCACAGTCATGGTGCATCTACTACTGTCTGGAAGGTCAAAGTAAACTGACCATACTGCTGTTTTTGCTTGTTTTAGTCCATTAACTCCAAAAAAAAGTCCATTACCTGCATACTTAACATTACCGCCAACCATTTTCCAAAGCATGCTATCGGTTTTTAGATTGATTTTCTATCCGGGCGGCCATTGACCTTCATTTCAGCGAGCTATAAAAAAAAAAATCACCTTGCAGACCCCCTTAAAACTTGCTCAGGGAGGACAGTCCATCATAGTGAATACTTTGTCAATTCTTATTTTATGTTGAAGTTAAATAATTGATGCGGTTTGTTCCGTCTTTGCTGGTTTATTAAAAGATCGTTTGACGTTCAAGGAAGGAAAAACAATCAATTATTGTTAAGATTTCATTAATGAAATGTGTTAATTGAAGTGACGTGCTGCTGACAAGCGACAACTTTATTACCGTCGTATTGCAGCACATGTGCATCGAATTAACCCAAACTAACGGCATTAATGTTCTGTGTGTGCAGTTTGGGGTTCCAGCTTAACAAAAGCACGTAAACTGAAAAATGAGAGTGTAAATATGAATCTGCGCTTCAGTATAAAAGCATAATATTAGCATGTCTAAAGAGCGTTGCGGCAGTAAAAGATCTCTCAACTGTCACAACCAGTTGGCATCAAAATGCCGAATCTCCTGCCATTTCCAGCAATCTGTTTCTGTCCATCACGGCCGTTTCTGTCTCTTTTTAAACCGCATCTTTCACACTTTCACCTTTCATCTCGCATTAGGTGCTTGTTAGATCATGTTCTGAGCTCACACTCTGCCAATACGCTGCATAAGTGGCCATTCATTTGGCCCGTTAAATGAGCGCAGACCAGCAGCAATTACGTGGCGCTACCAGTTGACTTTCTTTGTTCGCGGAGGTCAAACAATAAGTTTCTGTCTCTGTCTCATTATGTCTCTCCCTGCTCTTTCCTTCTCTGTGTGTTATTTGAACTCATTGCTCACTGGTGCCTAAACTGTGCTCTCTCTTTTTTTCTCCTCCTCTTCTCTCTTTGCCTCTTTTCCTGCATGCTAATTGATCTCGGGACACTCAACAGGATATCGTGAGTATTCTTCCCTGCCTGCTTTTTTTTCCCCCCACCTTTCTTAGCTCACTTACCTCTTATCCTTAACTGCTGCCCCTCAACGTTGATATTTACCATTTAACCTTTCATCCTTGGCCTGCATTTGCTGAGTTAGAGAGAACTAATCACTACGAAGCAGAACGATGGCGTATAGAGGGATGTGTGAGCATGTGTGTCTCAGGCCACGTTCACGCAAGAACGGATCTACGTTTTCAAAAACGCTTTGTTTACACAAACTCGCATAAACATGAGCTGCTATGAGCTGCCAGACCTACAGGGGGCAGTGTAACGAGAAGCAGACAGCCTTGCTAGCCAATCAGAATCCTGGAAAAAACACAACAATGAATGGCACGAATTACTTCCTGTTACTTTAACGATAACGAGGTGTTGTGTGGCATTAGAGTACAAGACAAGGGTTTGCACGAACGTAAAAACAAACACTGCTTTGACAGCATCCATTTCTATCACAGCAGCCAAACACGGGTCACACACGTATGACACTGATGACGCTTTTGTCGCGTACTGTGACGCCAAACTCCGTCTCCTCCTGCCTACATGCAGACGGAGTTTTTCCAAATCTCTACTTTGGCTGGAGTTTTCAGATATGCTCATTTTCCGTGACAGGTAGCTTCGTTTACCTGTAAACCAAAAGCCCAACCGCACTGAAATATCACCGCTAAACGGGGCCTCAGTGTGTGGGGTTGGACAGATAGTGACAGGAAGCTGTTGGAATCGGTTTGGTTTGATTCTTTTGACTCGCAGGAACCAAGACAGCAAACCTTAAAGCTCGTATTAATAGGGGGAAAAAAAACACACTAAAGATCTTCAAAGATTGATTTCCTGACAGTTACAGGTGGTGAGATGGAAGCCTAGTCAGCACAAATAATGTCTTTTAATTCACGTAAAGATGGGGGAAAATTGAGCCGCAGGATTTTCATGTAGCAGCGGGGATAACGTCCGGTGTAATCCACTGCAGCTGAGTAAGTCTGCTGAGCTCAAGTCAAGAAAACGTCTCAGCGTGTTGGATGACCTAAAGCCTGCCAGCTCACATCCACCTCACAGTTTCATCAGTTCCTCACACACACAAACACACGACAGTCTCACTCAGCAATAGAGTTTTGGCCATTTAAAATTTTTTGTGGCAGTCGCGTTAGTGCTCTAATTCTGCTCCACAGCCGGCCTAATTATCGCTGAATCTGCGCTGGCTGACTTTCGCTGTGTTTGGAACCGACTGTGGAAATTGGCTTCGGAGAGGTTTGATGAGAACAAGTATTTATAGTGCTAAAAATGTGATCCCCCCGGTGTCTTCTGCTCAGTTGTAGTTTAGCAAGAAGTCAGCTGTCTGTCTGTCAGTCGGTCGGTTGGAGCTATTGATTTTAATGAGTTCCTCAGAACCGCGGCAGGTGAGCATCCGGTATGAAACGTGTCGCATGCGGATTGTTAGCTGGTTCCAAAGTGACTAAAAGAAGCAGCTTGAGCAATTAGATACCTGCTAACATTATTAACACTGACGATGTATTAACAAGAAAAACCCTGACATTTCATTGTGCATACCTCCCACTCCAACACGCCTCCCCTAACTGAGCCCGACTAACCCGAGCCGCTGCTGAGTTTCCCTTTTGCTCTGTTGATCAAACTAATCTCCGGCTGCTGGCTCAAAGCGGATGTATTATTGCTTACAGGTCCTAGAGACGTTCTCTTACTCTCACGAAAAGACCAAAACCAACAATGAATCGCTGCTAATAAAAACTGTTTCCTGGATAGATAAAGATGTACTGTGGCATTGACCTAAATTGTTTGTTACAAACGCATCATCGGTGTGTTAAATATTGCTCCATTAAAACACAGAGCTACGGTAGTTTTTATTTTTAGATGAGTCAGCACATAAACCATCCCAGTAAAAGCTCACTGGAGTTTCACATGTGAGTAAACCTGTGGATGAATTTAGACTGTATTTACTCTCGTTTGAGTGGCGATTAAAGTCCGATTAAAGCCTTAAAACCTCATCTCTGTGCACCAAAGTTAGATATTTAAAAGTAGTTTCCATTGAAAAAGATGCAACTTTAACACCGGTGCATCCTTGAGCAGATCTAGTCGCTGCAGCTTCAGCACACCAGCTCACCCATTCTAGCAAAACTGCTCAACACAATGACAAGTAATAATACTGGACATTACATTAACGAATATGGAAAAAGCATAATAATACAGAAAGTCCCACGTGGCAAATTGACAAAACCGGTTCCTTAGATTTGTTACGTATGAAACTGTCAGACGTCTGAATCTGTGTATTTAAGACTCACCTTCAAAGAGGAAATGCAATCACGACGTGTCTTCTAGCACATAAAACATCCCCATATGGACATGTTAAGGTAAAAAAAAAGAAGAAGAAAAAAAGCTTAATGGGCACAAATTCATGACTGGACTTTAGTGCCACAATCTGGGTGGGAAAGTTTAGAGAGAATGCATTGTTGGTTTTTGTCTTTTCCGTGGAATTCGTTTGAGCTAAAATAGGACAGAACAAGGCCAGCCTTTTTTCATTAAAGCGACAAGTTATTTAGGGGGGGAGTTTTACTGCCTAATTTCCTCCACTTTCCCAGAATCCAAGTAGCCACAGCGGAGTATCATTAAACACCACAAACCATTATGTTCAGCGGGGTTGGAGATGCCATTTCTCCGAACAAATGTTAACAAGCTTCACAGAACTGTTGGGTCGCACCTTTCCTTAAGTCTGCGGAAAAGATAATCGCACATCGAGAGTGATACATTTCACACCGCGTTTGTACTTTGACACGTAAAAGTCCAGAGCGAGCTCGGTGCTATCACCTTCTGCCAGCCTGAACATGCTCAAGTTTCACAGCGGCTCCAGTAAAATGAACGGTGGGGCGTCCGCGACAACTTTGCCGTCCCTGCTGCTTGCTAGCGGATGATAGGTTTAGTGCATCCATGAAAAATGGATGTGAAAAAAAAAAAAAAAAGAAAAAAAAAAAAACCATGAAAAAAAAATGCACAGTTTTTTGGGTGTTGCTGCTTCTTCCAGCCTCCAGGAGCCGAATTAAGCCAGCGTAAGCTCCGAACTCAACATAACTTTAAAATTCACATGAGGATATAAAACAAACAAGCTTGACTGATTCTGGGAAAGTATTGAAAAGTGTAAAATCCCCCCCTGAAAGCTCCCCGTTTTCTTTAAGACGAGCAGACGGAACAAAGTCACATAAGGTCACCAGATTAGCGTTTCTATTGGATGACGGATTATATCACATGCAGGCTGGCGCGTTTGTTTCAAGGGTGAATAGAATATAAAATTCGAGCTGGGGATGTGATTCACCTCTCCGGTCTTTATAGTCGACGCTATCTGCTGCCTACCTACAACAGCGTCCCCTTCACAGCCAAACAAACCCTGCAGCTAAACCCACCCTCCCCTCTGCGCTGCCCTACCCCTCTCGCTATGCCAGCATTCTCCCTCTCTCATCCCTTTAATACTGTGCCACGTCCTGGCAGGGCTTTCCGGGGATTTGTGCAGAGAAAAAGGAGAGAGAGGGAGCAGGATTCGGCACAAGTCATCCAGAGGTACGAAGCGTCCCCCCCTCCCACCTCCTCTGCTTTGCTTGAGTGCCGCTGGCGCTCGTTTCTGGCTATAGCGCCGCCGTTGCTTATTTACAGCCATATCTAATCTGACTAAGCCAAAGAGTCAGAACGTGGCACTCGAAGGTGCGAGGATGTCAGCAGCTCTCAAAGGCACCAGGATCTGCTTACAGTGCCTCAATTACTGGGTCAGAGTTGTACTGCCAGCCAGCCTCAGTGAATCAGACTTTT